CCAACCCACCCAACCCACCCAACCCACCCTACGTAGAGTGCGCCACAGCTCGGTGGGCCGCTTCTCTCTGCTCGAACTCGAACCGCTTTGTGGGACTCTTCCCCACGTGGCAGGGGACCGGAGACCCACATCCTTGCCGTCTCAGGGAAAGATCCGCTTATCCTGCCGGATCCTCCTTCTCGATATGTGGGGGCATCTTCCGAAGGTACGACAGGTAGAGCTCTCGAGCCGTCTTGCCTAAGCCGACCGACTCGAGGTCCGCCACCGAGGCCTCGAAGAGGGGCTCGAACTGATGGCCACTGAGCCGCCCCTTCACGAGAGCCTGGTGCTCTCCGTCGATGCGCACCTCCCGCTCCTCGCGGGAATGCCCGAACATCAAGTGTTTATTCTTGATGCGGAGATACACCGACTCCGGGTCTTCCAAGACCCCGCCGGTCTTCCACGCCGCCTTATAGGCGTTGGCGTAGGTCTTGGCCCGTGACCCTTTGCAACGGGCCCGCAGGGCCAGAAGCTTTTCCCGCGCAGACATGCCGCGGCAATTATTCGCCAGGGCACAGACGTCTTCGAATTCTTCATAGAACAGAACGACATCTTTCGTATCGCTTTTTGTTGTCTGTCAACGTTGGCCAAACCAAATCGGTCTTGACCATCGTGATCGAATTCGAGACGCTGCGGGCAGACAGAGCCTCAAACAAGGCCTCTGTCTGCTTTTTGAGGGCAGCGGCTAGGTCAGCCGCCTGCCCGCCCTCGGCGACAGACGCGTCCCCGTCACGGGCAAGCCCATCTGCGCCCGGAGCGGCCGCAGGGGCCTGCTCCTTAGCAGAGGCGCCAAGCTTGGCCGCCAGTTGCTCTGGGGCGCCAAGACTGGCCGATGCCAGCCCAGGCTGAGGCGCCTTGCTGGCCGCCTTCGCAGTACTGCCCGCCACAGGAGGCGGAGATAAGGCAGGCGCGGCGGCGAAGAGCCCGCCTTCTCGCAGGAACGTCGGAGGGGGAACTCCAGACTTTACCGGCGCTAGCACTCTGCTTGCCGCCGAGTGCAAGGATCAACTCACCTATCGCCTGGATTGGGCGTCGGCGACATCGCCGTCGTCCCGCTCCTGAAGCGCTGCGACCGTAAACCTGGTCCGCAGGCGCCTAACCATCCTGGTCGGGTGCCAGTCGCCACCGACCTGGCCGAACTCCTCCGCAAAGGTGTCGAGCTCAGCTGACGAAACCGCAACGCCATGCGCGCGAAGCGCCAGAACGATGCGCGAGATGCGCGTGAGGTATAGTCCGCCACCGGCTCCTGATCCGGGCGGTACATCTCGCGCAACTCGGCCTGCAAGGACTCAGCCGTAGCATGCACTGATCCCGCCGTCGAGGGCGGACCCGAAAGCCCCGCCCGACGGTCAGCGGACAAGGGAACCACTGCCAGCGCGCTGTCACCAGCCGCAGCCGGCCCAGTGGCTCCGGTAGTGGGCGCTGCAGGAGCAGCAAGATCAGCTGCCTGCTCAAGAGCAGCCGCCTCACTCAACCCGTCCCTGGCCAGGGATGAGCTCTGGCCCGTCGGATCATCTGACGGGCTCCGCTGGAAGAGGGGACTCTTCCTCTTCTTCCTCTTCTTCTTCCTCATCCTCCTTCACGTCATGGAGAAAATCCATGACGGAGCGCCAGAGGGCCACCTCCTCCGTCGTGGAGGTAGACCGGCCATCGCGCCGTTTGACCGGCCGCGACCCGGTCTCTTTACGCCATTCAAGCCACCGAACGTAGGTCATACGCTCGGGGAACGGGACAGCGCCCGTCTCGATACATTCGAGCAGGGTGGTGCCCTCCGGCTGGCCCGACACCTCCTTCGACATGAGGGTCGGGGGCCAGCGGCGCAACAGCACGCTGCGCCTGAACAAAGGCCGCACGCGTGAGTCGAGACCCACGCGCCCAGCCAAGGGCCGCGATGGCCCTGGGACTTTCGGAAATTTCCCAGAACAGCCCCCAATTGTGGAGCGCAGCAAACGGACTTGCAAAGCAATCGCGCTGCTGCAGCTATCTTCCGCTCCGCGAGTTCAGAGTCGCGGACTCTTTTCCGAAAGTCCCTAGGACGCACCGCGCAAGGACTGCCGCAGGCACGCAACTCAAGAGCTACGCAACCTAC